AATATTTGTGGTTTTCATAAGTTCAAAATCGCAACAGAAAAGATGTTAGCCTTAATTTTTGTTTTCTCATTTTTTGTACTAATGAATCTATGATGCTTGAGATCTGAATGCGATTTTCTTTGAATCTTTGGTTAATTTCTTGATTTCGTCTGTGTTAGAATTTAAGTAAAAAAACTGTTAATTTCGTTTTGCACATCCATTTTGTGAATTTCTTAGATGGCATTATTGATTTTCGGACTATTGATTTGATATCCTCTTGCATTGCATGGTAAACTCAACTGAATAATATATATGGTACTTTTCGTATCTTTTAGAATTTGTAGGTTAAATTGTTTCTAGGTTTTGAATTTTTATTTGATTGTTGACAAAAAAAAAAGAATTCTTATTTGAAATGTCTTGAATTATTAAGAGACTCACCTATGTTGTAACATCTTCTAAAGGCCGTGGAAGACTAATGATTTTCTTTGTATTACTTTACATTAAAAATTTGTGTTGCACAAGATTTTAATTAATTACCATGAGACCCAAATAAATTTTATGATTAACTATATCATTATTTTAATTACACCCTATATATTACGATGTAGATATATTTGATCTACATCAGATATAACGATAAAGAAATTTGGGTACTATATACAATACCCCCTCACACTACCATAATTGAAGTAATTTAAGGTTATTGTTCTAAAAGTTTACATATGCAATTTCACTTCACGTTGAAGGTGAGAAGTTCATACCGTTATGTACGGTACATTACTTCACTTGGCCTAATGCAAGTTTTGAAGCCTAACATGGTCACACCTGGATCAGACAGGCCCAAGGTTTCACCCGAAGTCATCGCTGAGCACACGGTCCGTGCCCTTCAGAGAACCGTCCCAACAGCTGTTCTAGCTATCGTGTTCTTGTCGGGAGGACAGAGCGAGGAAGAAGCGACGAAGAACTTGAACGCGATGAACACATTGAAGACGAAGAAGTCATGGTCATTGTCTTTCTCGAGGTGCGTTGCAACATAGCACATTGAAGACATTGTCAGGCAAAGAGGAGAATGCGAAGGCGGCTCAAGAGGCGTTGTACGTGAGGTGCAAAGCTAACTTAGAAGCCACTCTTGGAACCTACAAAGGTGATGCTAAGCTTCATGATGGAGCAGCAGAGAGCCTTCACGTGTATAGAGATTTGGAAGGAAATTAAGCGACACCATGGATCATGTACATATCAACAGAGAAAATTATTAGACATTAAACTGTTTTTTACTACACAAGTGTTATAAATTAGTTGTTCTGGAATTTTTTGTTCTTAAAAAAAAAAGATTATTCATGCTTAAAATATATTGAAAAGCTATATAATGTGTGATAAGTGTGGAGAACAAGAATTAGCATCAAACATAAAGAGAAACACATAAGAAACCAAAGGCTTCGTCGGCAACAATTTTGTTTTTCTTACAATCCTCACTATCTATTGTATCTCTAACAACTTGAAATTTATTATACTCTTCTCTTTATCCCCACGGTCAAAACAACCCTCTTCCGATCTACAAATTTTATGAAGATTAAGAGAGAGAGAAAATATTGGGTTTATTTTGTTCAATTTCTACTTTTATTTTTTCTTCTTCTTCATCTAGGAATATTTTTAATTCTACACATGATCATTGTTACACAATATTCTCACTTTCATGAACAAAAATTATTAAAATATTTATACATATAGCCAAATCTCAGAATGTGATGATAATATGTTGTGCACTTAACCACTTTTTACTTAACTCTAATGATATTTGCAACAAACGAAATATACCAATATTAATTGGTGAAAAACTCATGAGAGTTCTTCTCAATCTTCTTTATCATTCCCATGATGCAAGAAGACGACTAATAATAGACTTGATGCAGGAAAATGTAGGAAGAAATTATCACGATGAACACTTGATGCTCAATATCAAAGAGGAGCTTCGAATAATATTTAATTAAATAGAAATTGATTTGTTAGGGTTTCACGATGCAAAACAAAGATCTGGAAAAGAGAATAATGAGGACACATGCATAAAAAACTGAGTGGAAGAGATCTGTGGTGGAAGTAGTGATTGAATTAACGGAGTAAAAAGAAATTTGTCGCAATTGTTGTGTTCTTCTTCACCTTATCTTCATATCGAGAAATACACAATCATTAAATTAGATCTACAAACTATAGCAATGTTAAATAAAAATAAATCTACCAAATTAAAAGAAAAATAAACATACCAAAATAAAAAGAAACAATTGGAACATGCACCTGAAGTTACCTCGTTCTACGAAATATTTGTTTAGGTTCTACGAAATCATGAGGAATGTATATATATAAGCAAAAAAGAGATCTTATCATCAAGTTAGGACATAAACTGGGAAACGAAAATGATGGTGAATATATATATAAGAATAATAGAGGCACTTAGGGTTTTAAGTAGGCGTAACTAGGGTTTTTTATAATAGATCTAGAAATAAAAAACAAACATTAATCGACGCTAAGGTTTTTTTGTAACCGATTTTGGTTCATAGGCCACGTAAAAAATTGGGTTAACCCTTAAATTTTCATTGGATTGATTAGGGTATTTTAATTTAAAAAAATGTCGATAGGAGTGTAAATAAATTGATTCATTAAGGGTATTTTCGGAACACCAAGTCTTAAACTCACTCTAGAGATGACACGTAGGATTTTTGACTTTACAATTATAAATATAGATATAGATACCAACACACGTTTTCCTTTTCTTTTTTGTTTTCAACTATTATAGCAAAGCCCATTAATTGAATA